TTGATTAGAAAGTTGTTTATGATTTTTCTTATGTTGATTATTTCTGCAACGGTAATTAAAATTCTAATAAAGAAAATTCAATAATATAACGTTCCAATTTTAACATTCTTTTCATTCTAACGTAATTAATTTATTGTTCATGCGCAGTGATGAATTCGAGTGTTTAATTATGCTGTAATATAAGAGATATGTATTAAAATATTATAATAATTGTTAAATAATCGATAGAAGTATCGATTATTGTTTAAAAGTACAGAATATATTTGCGGAGTACCTTCCTATTCGAAATTCACTTATAAACTGAGCCGTTGTTCTCTATAACAAAACATTAATTAGAAAGTTGTTTATATGACTTTTTTTTTTACGTCGAGCATGTTTCTAACAGTAACAATAATTTTAATAAAGAAAATTTGATATTATAACGTTTAATAAAATAACGTTTAACAAAATAATGTATGATAAATAAATAAATTTTTTTACCAAGTAATAAAATTTATTGAATGGAAAATATAATGTGGTTTCACACGTACGTAATTCCGCTTTTTTTTCTAACCACGTTAGTTGAACTCTATATGATAATTTATTTATTAAATAAATATTATTTTGTATAATAAAATATTGAAATTGGCGGAAATATTGAAAGGAGGGAAAAAATCGAAATTTATCATCTACTGCTACATACCAAATATCGATAATATAGGGATCTGTTCTGCCAAACTATTACTATTTTGACGTGAGTATTCCATAATCACTTACAATATTAAAAATTATTCAACAAAAGAATAAAAAATTGATTCACATAAAGAAATAATAAATCACATTTTAATTTCAATGAAATATTCTTATTTACTAATGAATAATTTAAACGACGATTGTAGATTGGTCCGTTAACGGACCAATAGGAACATTTGAATAATGCAGCGCTACTGTAGTTTTCTTTAGTAAATTAATCCAACCAATCGTAGCTGATTGGTTGGCGCTAGCTGACGAACAGATGGTTTACGCGTGCATAATGCTCTAGTAGTAGTTGACAAACGATTGACAGAGCATGATGCTAAATTTGACAGGTTCACCTCGTTCAATAAGTTAAATGAAATTAAGAATATAATTATATAATTGAATGAATAACTTTGATATAATAGTGACGCGCGAATCAATGATCGGTCCATTGTGTTAAAATTGTGATTAATAAACGCGTACAAAGTTCATAACATCGGTGATGACAAATTGGGCTTGTGCAGGAAGCGCAAAATCGTGATCGTGCCAACAAAACAACACCTGTAGAATTCTTCATTAAATTTTCTTTGTTTTGTTTTTATTATATCATCAAGATTATTATCATAAATAAATTAATATTTATTGAAAAGAAGAAGAAGAAAAAAAAAATAGAATATATTTCATTTGACGAGTCAACTTTAAGAGAGAAATAGAATCAAATAGAAATGGAGGGTGGAATCGTGGAAACAACTACGGACCAGTCAATTAATTCAACGACAAATCGTTCCGAGGATGAAATTGCATTGCAAGGATTTTGTAGTCCAAAAAGATTACCTTACAGATTTGTCGGATTAACGTTAATGTGTCTCATTGGTTTTGGTAAGGATATTTTTCATTAAATATGTAATAGACATTTTTTTGTTCTTCTCAATCGTTACGAATAAATCCATTGTTTACTACGTTTCCTTTTCCTTTACATATTCAAACCAAAATGAATCATAGAAAAGGAAGGAAATCATATTTTTACGTTTACACGATATACACCAAAATTGACTCTTTAATCTTATAAATATGAAATCATTGAAAAATATGTTATGAACATTCTATTATTTTTCTTCTTTTTCTATTAGTATCCATCATAGACATTTTCTCTTTAACCCCCCCTTCTTACTTTTCTTTTGTTACATTATCAAGTTTGTTTTCTTTTATCAGCTTTCGGATACTGCGGTTCAAAGAACGAATATTTTTAATTTTTTATTTACTTTAACTTTAACATAGATTATTTTTATTTGTTGTAGATACTACCAACTGTAGATACATTTACATAGTACGTCAATTTTTTTTATCTTTTATCAGAGAATAAACACATATGGACATATGGACAGTAGATTATATTATTATTGTTGAACTTTAATTTCAATCCCAAAAAATCAATGTACACTCCTATAATCATTTCTTATTCAAATTATCTACACATATACATAAATATATATATATACGATATATACGATAATATGTACCCATATATATATATATATATATATATATATATATGTACATACTTGTCGATGGTATAATGAAATTCCATAGAAATTCATAGAATTCCTTTCATTCTAATGACCTATATTCTAAGAAATATTTTCATTTTATAAATGACCTTTCGTCACAAACACACTCATAGCAAATATATATATATATATATATACCACGATAAAATTCTATTTGCATATGCAATTTTATTCTCTTCTTATCTACATCATTTCTATCAGAATCCGTGTGCTAACATTTGATATAATTCTTCTTTTTTTATTCATCATGATGTAATAGAACTGTTCTTGCATGATGGTCAATGAAAAATTCATTCAAAAAAGAATATATATATATATATTTTTTTTTGTTATTTGAGAATAAATTTTGTGATTCAACAAAATGTCTCTCATATGTTTCAGGCTCATATTTTTGCTTTGACAATCCTGGAGCTTTGCAGGATAATTTCAAGACTGACTTACACATGTCAACTAGTAAATTTGTTTTACTTTATTCTATTTATTCCTGGCCCAATGTAATTCTTTGCTTCGTTGGTGGATTTTTATTGGACAGCGTATTCGGTATTCGTTTGGGTACTGTTATATACATGGGACTTGCTTTAATTGGACAATTAATCTTTGCTACTGGTGCTATGATCAATGAATTTTGGTTAATGATGGTTGGAAGATTTGTCTTTGGGTAAGTTTTTAATATAAATGATATATATATTTTTTTTTTTAATTAGAACAATAATATTGTGTGCCACAAATATTATTTCAAATATTATTTTATGTATTTAATTTGACAGTATAGGCGCAGAATCATTGGCGGTTGCTCAAAACAGTTATGCTGTACTTTGGTTTAAAGGAAAGGAATTAAATATGGTATTTGGATTACAATTGAGTTTCTCTCGTATAGGATCTACCGTTAATTTTTTGGTAATGGAACCAATTTACAAATATGTATCTCAGTATTATACCGGCCCAGAATGTATCGGAGTAGTTTTATTTCTTGCTTCTATTACTTGCGTCGGTTCTATGATATGCGCTTGCATTTTGGGTCTAATGGATAAACATGCTGAAAGATTGTTAAGGCGTGGAGAAGGACAAGAACCAGTAATTGTTAGTTTAAAAGATGTTAGAGATTTCAAGCCTATATTTTGGTTAATCACTCTTATCTGTATCGCTTATTATGTGACAATCTTTCCTTTCATAGCATTGGGAAAGTAAGTGTTATTTTAAATACAAAAAGTTCTATGATATATATAATAGATTTTAAAAAATTATTCTTTTATATCTTTCTTTTCAGAGTATTCTTCGAAAGGAAGTACGACTATGATCCTTCAAGTGCAAATACCGTCAATTCTTTGATTTATTCAATATCAGCTATTGCTTCTCCTATTTTGGGTTATCTAGTTGATAGAGTTGGAAAAAATGTATTTTGGGTATTTCTTAGCATATGCGTAACTATGGTAGCACATGTGTTATTAGCATTCACATATGTGAATCCATATGCGTGTATGATACTCATGGGATTTGCATATTCCATGCTTGCTAGCAGCTTATGGCCTCTGATATCTCTCGTTACGCCTGAATATCAACTGGGGACTGCTTATGGCATGTAAGTAACAAATGTTTAATATTTATCAACTTGGAAAATTTCAACTGTAATGTGTATGTTGTATATTAATTCGTTTCTATTATTTTATCTATATAGGGCCCAGGCTGTACAGAATTTAGGTTTGGCTGTAGTTTCCATTTTAGCTGGAATTATTGTTGATAAAGGCGGTTATATGATGCTTGAAATTTTCTTCCTTGGATGGCTTTGGAGTAAGTTTCTTTTTTTTTTTGTTCAAAATTTAAAAATTAATATACAATAATTAATACGTATACTTTTTAATTTGATATAATATTTATTATTCATTGTAGTATCCTTGCTAACTGCGGCTGCAATTTGGGTCTCGGACATGGCAACAACCGGTGGCTATTTGAACATGACGCCAGGACAACGCGAAAAATACGAAGAAGTTCGTCATACTCCCGAAAGCTTGGAGAGAAAGAAACTATTGTCGCCCGAATCTACTTCGGATTTATCGGTAGATGATATTTTGCAACCCCAATCCGACATTAGTATCAGAAATCGCTATTTATCTCGTGTTGGTGCAATGGTAACATAAAACAACATATATTTTTTTTTTTTTCCATACCAAATCTTTCTGCTTTATTTTATCAATCATCCACCAACCAAACGTTATTACTTAATTTGATTAAATAATATTTTTACAGGTACCACCGCAAACCATAAAACCACCGGCTGTTCATCGGCCAATACGATGATGCTCTGCATTTAGTTAAAAAAAATATAGATGTAATTTTTTTTTTTTTTCGTGGAAAAAACGATAATTACTAAAGAAAGAAAAACAAAATAACATTCGCTGTCTTCCTTCTAAATAGTGCTAATCTGTGATAATTTTTTCTTAAAATCATGAGATTAATATTTTTTACTTTAGATGTTTAATGTTATTTGAAATGATTTGCAACTAAATCAATCGACTGATCAAGATAAAGTCGACGAAATCATTTTGCTATATAGGACATAAAACAATAGCTAATAATAGCAATAATGACAACGTATTAAGTTTTGACACTATGACATTAATTAATTATGAATAATTGTAAAATTTTTCTCTTTTATAATCGCATGATTATGAACTATATATAATATATTAACTATGTGGAATTAATCTTTCTACCTCTGGTTTGATTTGCAAAGACGTTGTTACAATTAGGTATAAGATAATTATTCGTTAAATTATCTATATACATATGGATGTATATATGTTTATAAATTTTAAAAGTATAAACACATATATGAGATTCTGTAAACGTGTAATATATATTGATGTGATGTGCGATAAATAAATGTATAACGAAGTATATATATTTAACAAACAAATAATACAAGAATAGAAAAACGAGAAATTAATTTCGTGCAGAGTTATTTGTTGTATATTAATAAGATTAAATAATTAATAATTAATTATAATAAGTTGTATTTTAATAAGATTAAATTTATTTTATTTATCTTACTTTTTTATAAACTGCATTATCGACAGAGCGCGTAAGGTTGAGTTAGTTGCACATGAGAGTCAGTAGTGACTAACACGTGTATGCCGGCTCAAGGTAAAAGCAAGTGTGTTTATTGAGTTGTTTATTTTTGACATTTAAACGGTTTTATTTTTATAGTTTATTCTCCAAAATGGGTGTACACGATAACGCGGAATCTAAATATAATGTTATGGGAACGTCGAGTTTCTCCAAGTTAGCACCGAAACGACCAAACACCGTGGTTTTCGGTGAGAATCCCGCCAAAGTCGAGAAACGCGAGGAAAATATTTCAAGTTTTCAGAATGTTGATAATATGGAATCAGGAAGTGTCAATAGTATTCAACAACAAAGAAAATCTCTACCAGTTTATCGCCTTCGAAAACGGTGAGATTTATAAAAATACAAAACATAACCTTTCTTTTCTTTTTTATTACTTTTTCTCTTACTTTCTCTTTCATGTCTTTGATCGAATCATATATCTCTCTTTCTCTTTCTATCCCTTGTTGAGTATTGAGTAAATTCTATCATTTATGAAAGCAATTAGTATATTTTTATCAAAGAATTTAAGATAAAGTGTCATTCTATGGTAAACACCTGGAATTGTTTCCAACGTTGTTGGTTATCATTCTTACGGATAGATGACGTTCTACGGCGCGAATATTCAAACGTCCGTAACAGGTGGTTTATTGATAATCTTCAATTAAAAAGTATTATATTGTTCTTGTTTGTTTTTAATTTGTTTTCGTTAAATTAACGAAATGAAAAATTTCATATTAAATGATGAAATTGATAAACAAAAAATATCTTGAACGTTTTACAGACTTTTGGAAGAGATAAGGAAAAATACTACGTTGATTATTATCGGAGAAACAGGTAGCGGTAAAACTACGCAGATTCCACAACTGTTGCTCTCATCAGAAATTGGTGCTGGTGGTCGCATTGGTGTAACGCAACCGCGAAGGGTAGCCGCAGTTAGCATAGCTCGTAGAGTTGCACAGGAGCAAGGGGTGGAAACTGGTAAGCTAGTGGGTTACTGTGTACGATTTGAAGATGTGACGTCATCTCATACCAAAATCAAGTACTTGACGGATGGTATGATGGTACGGGAAGCTATGACCGACGAAATACTATCGGATTATTCGGTTGTAATATTGGACGAGGCACACGAAAGATCGGTACAAACTGACGTGCTACTTGGTGTTGCTAAACGAGCACAGAATTTGAGGAAGTTGAAGAAATTGCCACCCCTTAAATTGTTGATCATGTCTGCGACGATGGACGCGGACAAGTTCGCTAAGTATTTTCATGCTCCTGTTCTATATCTCGAGGGTCGGCAGCATCCAGTTAGGATCTATCATGCCGTTAAAAGTCTAGAGGATTACGTTTTTTCTAGTATGGTCACGGCCTTTCAAATCCACAGGGAGACACCAGCCAAGTAAGAGTTTGATCTTCCAACTTTGATATATATAATGAAAAGATTAGAAAAAATAATTGAACAGAGGGGAATGATATCGTTGTGGTCTTTTCCAGCGAGGACATTCTCGTTTTCTTGACCGGACAGGAAGAGATAGAGGCTGCTGTAGCCAATGCGAGACAGGTTGCCAAACAGTTGGACGGTAAAAGATACCCATCGTTGAAGATATTTCCTCTCTACTCGGCTCTACCGACTCATCAGCAGTTGGAAGCTTTCAAGGCTTCTCCCGCGGGAATGCGAAAGCTTATTTTCTCGACGAACGTTGCCGAGACGTCCGTTACGATAGGAGGTGAGTCCTTTGATATCTTATTATTAGATAGTTGACGATCTTGCCGGTGATATAGATGGATGATTATAGATGGTTAGGTGGAAAGATGGGCAGCAGATAGAGGTAGATAGATGGATGAATAGATAGACGATGGGTGGCATAAACGGCTTTGTTGAGAAGGGGTCCTTCTTGTAGGTATTCGACACGTGATCGATACTGGTGTGGTCAAAGCAAGAACGCATCACCCAACGACGGGACTGGATGTGCTCAAGGTGGAACAGATCTCAAAGGCGCAAGCTTGGCAAAGGACAGGAAGATCCGCTCGCGAGGCACCGGGAAAATGTTACAGGACTTACACAAAGGACGAGTTCGAGAGGATGAAGGAGATGCCTCTACCGGAGATACAAAGGTGTTCTCTAGCGGGAGTTGCTCTACAGCTTCTCGCTATCGGCGTCGATATTACTAGCTTCGAATTTATGGACAAACCACCCAAGGAAGCTGTCGACGTTGCGGTGACGTGTTTGGAAAAGCTTGCAGCCGTGAAAGGTATATTATTGATTTCAGTCAGGTCCTAAAACCGATAGACTATACACGAGAACCATCTTCCTCAGTACCGCTTCGACATTCACCTTTCAGGTTCCCCACCGCAATTGACTACTCTGGGTAGAACGATGTCATTGTTCCCCTTGGATCCTCGATTTACTAAAGTGATTTTAGCTTCCGTTGAACATCGATGTCTCGAGGAAGCTCTCACTGTCATTGCACTCCTTTCAGGAGAATCGATATTTGCCGATCCACCGGCTAAAAGGCAACAAGCATACGCTGCTAAGTCTCGGTACATATTTCATTCATCGTTTAAATCACTTCTATTCATTTCAAATATTCATTATATCGTTACCTGTTTCAGATTTGCTTCTCCCGAAGGAGATCACGTCACGTTACTTAATGTTTTTCGTAGTTATACTACTACAAGTCAGAAGAAGGCATGGTGCCATGAACACTTTCTGCACCATCGGAATTTGGAATATGCCTCGGAAGTTAGAAAACAGTTAGCCGCTTTAGCTGAACGTGCGAATTTAGAAAAAGTCAGCTGCGGAAATAATACTCAACAGCTTAGGAAGGCTCTACTCGAGGGACTCTACGATAACCTTGCCGAATTGCAAAGGGATAATACTTACGTTACGGTAATTCTTTTTTTTAATTACTTTTAATTACATTTTATTATTAGTTCATATACAGAAATATTTTTTAATCCAAATGAAATTGGAAGGAAATAAATTTTCAGACGATGCGCATTAACGGCGTTGAATTTTTTACAAGAATTTCTGAAAAGATATACGCGCGAATTATTCACGTTACAAATGTAAAAATGGGTTAATCGTTTTGTTGGATTGCAAAGGAACAATTTGCACGGATTTAAGAATTATTAATGAAATTTTTTTTTTTTTTATTAATGCATTTAGGTGAGCTCGAAACAGCCAGTTGCAATACACCCATCTTCAACTTTGCACGGTACAAAATCGTCTCTGTTGTTGTTCACGGAAATCGTTGCTACTGGCAAGTGTTACATACGTGATTTATCCGTCATCGAAAATTCATGGTGTACGGATAAAGGAATCGTTACGATTAAATACGAATAAGATAATAATATTTATCAATAATAAATTTGTATTAATATAATATAATAATTAGATAATTTATTTTAACGATGAAATATATGATCAAATATCGACGACATTTTCTATAACGAAAAAGATATGTTTATATCTTATTTATATTAAAATTTTATTCGAGTTACGGTGTATTTGAATTTCTATTATTAATTAACCCTTTTCGAACGAGTGTCCATTCTCAGCCGTCGAAGTATTTTTATTGTTCCGGTCGTATGTCTGCTCTCAACCACCATACAAGAAATTGTGCTAATCTTAAATATATATATATAATAATCTTAATATTATATAATTTTTATTGTATTATATTTATAATATAATTTACAATAATACTATATATATATATTATTAAATACTATACATTATTAATTATTAAATAATATATAAATAAAAATTATATATATATATATATATAATTGTAATATATTATATATAATATATATTATATAATATATTATATATTATTATATTATTTATAATATAAATAATATATATATATATATTTTATAAGTATTTTTACATAATATGTATTTTACATATTTATGTAAACAATTATGTATTTTACATAATAAATATGTTATGTATATTTAATAAAAATATGTATATCAATTAATTTCGATCACTATGACACCCATGTCCAAATTGAATACGTCCGAAAAGGGTTAATTACGTTTAACATATATTTTTTAAAATTCTATTTATTTATTTTTCTGTTCTTTTGTCATTTTGATAAAAAAAAAAAGTATATCTAATAGGATTTATTTTCTAAAATACACATTTATTATAGATTCTTATTTTTTTTTCAACAACGAGTCCTCCTCCTCCTCCTTCCTATCCCCCTTCCGTTTTTAATCGGAATTGCAAATCGTGCTTTTAA